ATATCATTATGAAGAACACCATGGTGGAGGCTTCCGGAAAATTTCACCGTTAGGTCATCTTTATCGTGCACTGACATCGCAGAAAACACGGGCCTCTACCATTTTCCCTCCATCAAAACGAGACTAATATACCACGGCCGGCAGCGAACGCGCGGTCAGCAGCCGACCACCATAACCACAATACCTCCGTGGCAGATGAAGCAAACTATCTTTATTATTTTTTAGAACGCGTTTTACGAGTAACGGTTTCTAGCTATCTGGAATAATTCACTATGCCGCTTTACATTTCTCGAGCTAAAGTTCGCTCTGATTGTTCGCACCTTGGCGCTACCTGCCTTCAGCCACCTTTTCTTAGACAACACCGAGGAGATTAACTTCGGCCGGACAAGGGAGAACACGCGTGTAGGCTGACAGCGCGCCAAGATGGCACGGTAGATACCGCGTCGTCTTTTGGCGTGCGCAGTACCAGCAGCGTAAACAAAATGCCACCAGCACAAAGGGAGGCGCACACATTAAACGGCTCCTTTATGGCGTTAAGAAGCGCGAACACTGTTGGCATACAGTAATGCAACTGCTGTGGACAAGTAGTCAGAGCGCAATCAAAATGTTACGCCCGAAATGTAAACACGACCAACACAGTCAACTGGAGATTTCCGTAAATGCTGTATTTTCTGCTCTCAATACGTACTTCATCTGAGAAAAAAGCATGCATGATACAAGCCGCGCGAAACCAACATCGACAAAGGAGCACTGCGTTTATGGCCTCAACTTTACTCGAAGCGGCCTAATCTGAGATATTGCGTAGGTACTACACAACACAGAATAATATTGGCGCGAGCTCTAACCCAAACGGCGAGTAAATGAGAAGTCAGGCACCCACCTCCGAGATGCAGACCAGATAAAGAAAAAAAAAGTGGCAGCATATTCACGGAGTGAATAATGGAGAATAGGGCGAAGCATTCGTCCGTCCATTCGTTCTTGCTTCCGTCCGTCAATGCGTCCGTCTGTGTGACCGTCCATGCGTCCATCCGCCCGTCCGTGCGTGCGTCTGTTCGTGCGTCAGTCCCTGCGTTCGTCCATGCATCCACCCCTGCGTCTGTCCATGCGTCCATCCATGCATCTGTCTGTGTGTCCGTTCGTCCATCTATTCAACACTCCTAGTACCACGATCGCGCATCTTTTCATCATATATTCCCCATACAGAAGCACCGCCATCCAGCGGACATTCCAAGGACTCAACGAGAGGTGGCACACGTACACTTTCTTACGGCTTGCGCTTCGGGTCTACTTCCCACCTTTAACCAGCTCGAGTTAATGGTATATCCTAGTTCATTGTATTCATGACACTGCGGCTCAATGCTTACTAAACATTTCTAAAACTAAAGAAATCACACCCAGCGAGTACAACGTAGCAACCCTTTCTGGTCAGATAGTGCTCAATCTACATGCCAATGGCTGCTAATCGGGATCGCTGCATGCGCGTTAACTAAAAGCCGAATGCTCCAGTCTCTCATTCCCCATTAGCAGCCTTTGGAATGTACATTGAGATCTATTGTTTATTGTTCAACAACGCACAGAAGAAATCTCTCACCGGCACCACCTTGGACGTCAAATTGTTATACTTTTTACACACTACAATGGCTACGAGGGACGAACGGGTGCCGCTATAAGGAGCTTCGCCCTTAAAAAGAATTGGCAACATATCCACGGAGTGAATAATGGAGTGTGGGACGAAGCATTCGTCCGTCCATTCGTTCTTGCTTCCGTCCATCCATGCGTCCGTCTGAGTGACCGTCCATGCGTCTATCCGCCCGTCCGTGCGTGCGTCTGTTCGTGCATCCGTCCCTTCGTTCGTCCATGCATCCGCCCCTGCGTCCGTTCTTGCGTCCATCCATGCATATGTCTGTGTCTCCGTCCGTCCATCTATTGAACGCTCCTAGTACCACTATCTCGTATCTTTTCATAAGATATTCTCCCCATGTAGATGCACCGCCATCCAGCGGACAGTCCAAGGACTAAACAAGAGGTGGCACACGCACACTTTCTTACGGCTTGCGCTTCGGGTTTACTTCCCACCTTTAACCACCTTGAGTTCATGGTATATACTAGTTCACTGTATGCATGGCATTGCGGCCATGAATACAGTGACTTCGCTAAACCTTTCTAAAACCAAGGAGGTTACGCCCAGCGAGTATAACGTAGCAACCTTTTCCTGTCAGACAGTGCTCAATGTACATGCCAATGGCTGCTTATGGGAAATGAGAGACAGGAGAATTCGGCTTTTACTTTCTTACGGCTTGTGCTTCCTATCTACTTCCCACCTTTAACCACCTCGAGATCCTTCATGGTATATACTAGTTCACTGTATTCATTGCACTGCGGCTCAACGCTCGCTAAACCTTTCTAAAACTAAGGAGGTTACACCCAGCGAGTATAACGTAGAAACCCTTTCTTGTCACATAGTGCTCAATGTACATGCCAATGGCTTCTAATGGGGATCGCAGCGTTCGCGTTAACTGAAAGCCGAATGCTCCTGTCTCTCATTCCCCATTAGCAGCCATTGGCATGTACATTGAGCACTATTTTTTATTGTTCAACAGCGCACAGAAGAAAACTCTCCCCGGCACCACCTTGGAGGTCAAAAATGTTATACTTGTCACACCCTACAACGGCTACGAGGGACGAACGGGTGCCGCTATAAGGAGCTTCGCCCCTAATTCAACGCCAGCCTCCGTGTGTGCGCCTTGGCCTTTGAGGAGGGTAGTGGGGCTAGTGACCAGAGTAGCGACAGCCGATGGATGAGTGACGATGGTGGTGCGCCTGCCGTGGTCGGATGGTTCCTCTTTCCGCGACGCCCGCCTAAACCGCCATTTGGTAACAAATACAGTTTCGTAGGTTTAAAGCGGTGCAGAACTCGTCGCGGTGATGAATGGAATGAGGGTATGCAATGGTCATATTAGTATAAATTTCTGGAGGTTATACGTATTGCAAGTGGTTACTTCCGTCTAATTTTTTGTTGACGAAGGAGATGCTTGTTTTTTGCACTATTCAATGAAACTTTATAGGTAAACATGCGCTGTATCCATAATATTCGTGAAGTGGTGAAGTCTGTGATTCTCAAACGTGCGCTGTTTTCTTGATGTTGGCGAAGGGGGGGGGGGGAGGGGAGTGTGTTTATTTACTGGACACTATGTCCGTTTTTCTGTCCATAAATACGCGCAATTTTTGGCAGTGTATCGTGGGAAAACTTTTTTTCGCCAGACAAAGGTTAATGATTTCAGAAAGTGGTTAGGCGATTATTTCAGCAGCACATTTATTTGGTTTGATTTGAAAGTCGAAAAAATCACAACATCTAGTATTTCTAAGCCGCATGATTGTTTTGTATACCTCGCTTTCACAAGTAGGTCTTACAAACATAGTACTTGGGCATGTATTCGAAACGTATGACGTTGCATCAACAGATGTTTCTGCAAAAGCTACGTTTACTATAAAATCGTTAAATGTTTCACATAGGTTGCTACCACTAATAACATAACCATTAATTCTAATTTCTGTAAATACGCTATTTGAGTTTCGTGTTCCTAGTGCTTTATTGATGTTTTTCCAAGTAGAAACAGAATTACCAGCTGATTGCATAAAGATGTTATGCAACAGTTTTGTGTAGCTTTTTGGAAATCTTTATTTAGATGAGTACAAAATTTTTTGAAGATGCTAAATGGCTGTGGTCACAAGAAGCCAGAAATGCATCATTCATTTTATTCTTTTCATTATTTGATGCAACAGGTGCCGTGTGATCCACTGTGTGGCTTCCTAATTTTTTTTTTAGATGGGCGGAGGATAATCCGAGGAAAGTTATGTTTGTATAATTCCTGGAATTTTTATGAATGTACTGATAACAACGTTCGGGTTGTCATTTGCGAGAACATCGTTCCAGGACGTATGAACTAGTTCCCGACGAAAATTTTCAAGATTTTTGGTTGTGACAGAACGCATTGATATAGAAAACTCGTTTCTATTTTATTCGTTGCCTAAAAAAAAAAAAACAAGAGAAGGTGATCGCTTATGTCGCATGTAATGGTCCCAGCTTCAATATTCTGAGAAATAACAGTTCGTGAGAAAGACATCGAGTAAAGTGGATGTCTTGGCAGTAACCCTTGTGGGCATAATTATCATGATAGACAATCCAAGGCTATCAAACAAACACGTCATCTCAAGTTCAGAAGTTTCATTAGACAGCATGTCAACATTATAGTCACCACCACAAACAGTTACATAGTTATTCAGTATGTAATTGCCATTGTTTCAAGGGTGTTTGTATGTGTTACATCCCACTCTCAAGGGTGTAGCTCTATCTAACACCCATAATTTAGCGGTGTTCATAAACACCTAAAAAGAAAGGTTTACCATCTCTTTGCACCATGCGAAACATTCTAAAACGGTGTGTCTCATGGCACAAAAATACACCCTTAAAGATGCAAAAACGTTTGCAGTGATATAGTTCCACAGATCTCGAGAATATGTATTTTTGCATTCGTGCAGGCGCCTGCGAAAGGAAAGAAAATGGTGTACAGTGCATGGTACAGGCGAACCTACGGACTCATTGCTTGCGATATATTTATGTTTTGTTTACTGTTTGTTTTTAACATCAGGAGACCTTGAAACGTGAACACTCGGGACTTTTGCCCTGAAAATAATAATACATGCACGTTTAATTATTCGGCAGTACAAACCTATTTTTGCATTCTATATCGCTTACGCCTTTTTATTACAGTGGCGAAATGCACTAGTAGATTTGCTTTATTTACACATGTGAGGTGCTCAGCCATTATTTTGTACAGTCTTGTGTTTATCACCTTCTCACTCTGTGCTTGTATAGTGTTTGTCACGGGAAGAAATTTGGCCTATTCAATGATGTCAATCGTTTCCATAGAGCGTGTCACAAAAAGCTAGCAGATGACTAACTCTGCATTGAGCAATGTCGACATGTACTCTCAACGCAGAAGAACCGGGAGCTGCAGCCGACGATGACCAGCAGCTCAGGGAAACGGAGTCTTACAGCGTCGTCCTCCGCAGTAAACTAGGATCACAATCTATAGTGTTTAGTGCCGAAGTGAAAGCGGTGGACGCCTCCATTGAATGTGATCCGGGATCCACGGCTGGCTACGTGGAGTTCAAGTTAACTCGCTTCCAAGAAGACTCTATGGATGCATGGAGCGACACGTTCAAAAGGTGCGTGTCTACCACAATGAAGTCAATATACTTGGAATGACCACTTTTTGTCGGTGAAGCACTCATGCAAAAAACTTCTGAACAGCTGAAGCACGGGTCTTAAACTGACTGAGATACTGGGCCGTCGCAAAATTATTTCTGCAAGCACTGCATGACGAATCGGGTGAGGGCGGAGAAGGCTTGTAAAAAATTTCTTCTGAAGCTCAAAGGTTTGCAATGTGGGCAGCACAACCTGGACGAATCTTCCTATTGCAAAAACCAGTGCCAGTGGGTACCTGCGTCCAGCGCCATGCCTGATTATGGGCCCAGTATGGCGCTGGTACCAGCGCTTTCCAGTGCTTGTACTGGGACGCTGCCGCTCCCACGTCTCCAGCGTCTCCAGCGTCCGAGTACTCTGCGCGAAATGGCTTCACAGGGTTAAAACGGGCGTGCCCATTCGCCATAAATGAATAAGTATATGAGTAAAAAGCGCGCATTCACACTAAAAAGTTAAGAATAAAAAAAGAAAACGCCTCCTCCTGACAGGATTTTAACTTACCACCTTCTGCTTACGAACTGAGTACACTACCCACTACGCCACACCACAACGTACACGGTGACTTAGAAGTGTGGCAGCTTGGGCTATTTGGTATGGCATGACGATGGTTATAGTACGAGAACAAAACAACGACACAGAGATGGTTTTTATAGGTAGCTCTCAGGCCTCGGTGAGTTTTATTCTTTTAGCGGGACGGCACAGTGCTCTCCCATAGTTGAGTACGAAGTACTCGAAATCGTTAAACATTTTTTCTAAACACAAGAAGGCCAATGTCTTTCGTGTCTTTCTTGTCTATGTTTCGTCGTTTTGTTCTCGCGCTATACCTATCGTCGTACATGGTGAGTTGTAAAATGACTATTTATCCGAAAAACGCGCCGTTCGACTTCAAGTTTACATGTCGCACAGTCAAGATTGACGTGATATTCCTTTCCTAATAACAATTGCGTCTTAATTCGACAGTGGCGAACGACGTCCGGCACCGAATGACGTGCAGATATTAGAAATAGCGCAAAACTTTTTGAAGCATCTACATTTTAACTCTGAAAATTCTCAAATTGACTTGAGGAGCAGCCATAGATTGTCGGCTTCTGCTGCCGATAGTTTTTTCCTTTGGTAGTCAGTTTTCGCACTTGCTACTGGTTAACATGTAGAGATGATTTAAAATGTTTTGTTTGGTAGATATCCGCGCACACGAGTGAAAATTCAGTATTTTTTTCGCGCAAGCAACGATGTTTGAGTACACATCCGGCGTGCCATATTAAATATTTGCAGTTATATTGATACCTGCAACTAAGAAACCGTCGAAGAAATTACTAATGCAATCCGCTAAAAAAGTATGCCAGTGTGTTAGTTCACTAAGGCGTTCAACATTACCAACTCATAATTGCGTGTTCTTACATATGAGTCAGAGAAGTACCGGCTCCTGCGCTCAGAAGGAAGGTTTCGGTGACAGCCTGCGTTGCTGAAAGCACGACACATCGATTGTCGCCACTCCTTGTGTGGGCACCGCACACGCGGAGAAATGGTTACTTTAGGCTCAGCGATTTCTAAACTACTTTACAGTTATTCTTACACTATAGAATTGGGCTTACTTGAAATAAAAAACACAGGCTGCATATAGGTCTCGCCGGGACGGGGCACAGCGTAAGGCCGCTCTCGAAGCAGCTGAGTTGCGATGCTTGAAGTTTCTGCAGTTGAGCTTCGCAACATTTTTAAGTGCTACCTAATCTGTACCTGAAGTAAGTAGAAGGACAATAATTGCCAAAAATGCAATTCCGGAGTGGTGATACCGAGCGACAGCCGTTTTTCTGGCCTCCGCTGGTAGTATACAGCAGGCGTGTTAGTGTACAGATATTTTCAGTTATATCAACACCAACAATTAAAAAAAAGCACCCATAGAAATACTAATACAATCCACTGAAAACGCGTGCCAAGGAGTCAGTTACCTCATGCGTACAAAATTAACAACTGGAAATTGCGTGTTGTTGCTTATCAGTCAGAGAAGTACCGACCTAGTGCGGCAGGCAGCTTTCGGTGACAGTCTGCGTAGCTGAAAGCGCGACGCATCGATGATCAGTGATCCTTGTGCGGACATCGACACGAGACAAAGTAATTTATTTAGGTTCGCGGTTGCTTAACTATACTTTACAAGTATTCCCACGCTTTAAATTGTGTGTACACAAGCAAGAAGCGCAGGCAACATATACACCAACGTGGTCGGCACGACAGGCTGAATGCTCGCTGGGCTGGGCGCTGGGTAAGACCGCTCTCGACGCGGGGAGTGGGGATGGTTGAAGATTCTGCATTTGAGCTTCGGAACATTTCTAACATTTACCTGAAGTAAGTAAAAGGATAAGCATGGTCGAGACATTCATTTACGCGGTGTGGCGGAATCGAATGACAGCTTTTTTTCGTAGTCTCCGCTGAGAAACCTTGCGAAGCGATCGAGAGAGGTCATTTACTTTTCGTCAACTTGGCGGCAAAAACAATTTCCTGTTTCTGTTAGGAGTGGCGTGCAGCTCCAGGCTTACAAACACTGCAACTTGGAATCGTTACAGCAATACACGGCTGATGCGAATAAACGCGGGGGCATATGCGAAAAAGGTGCCATTATAATTGCTGCGATACGTACGTGTAGCCGCAAAAGTTACGTATGCTCGGTATCTGTTAGGGTAACATCTTTCCCGGCCGTCGAATGAAGCGTTTTATATTCAACGACACCGAAACACACCTACGGCAGACGCTACAATAATGTGCACGCTGCGCTGGTAGAAACAGTGCGTGCTCCAGTATTCACCAGCGCTTGCCAGTGAAAATTCCAGTGCTTCCAGCGCTTCGCAGTGTGCACCAGCATCACAGCATTAGGCCAGCGCCCCTACCACTGTGACACAGCTTTTTCTTAGTGCGCCCAGCGAAGTGCCAACGAATACAAGCGTGTACCAGTGTCTCCAGCGTGCACCAGTGTCAAAAAACGTACTGGCATCACGCTGGGGTCACTGTTTTTTGTAATAGGGCTATAAGGAACGGACACGCATAGCTCGATTATCGTTCCTTATAAGTTTCACGTCAGTGTCGCATTGCTCACATAGCAAATTTGTGTTCAACTACCAACTCGCCTAGCTTGCGGTGTTGTTGCGCCTACAGTTGCCATTGAACGAAACTGCGTATCCCATATTTCGCATGTGATACAAAGATCCTTTCCCTAATATTTCTGGCGTGAGTATTTGGAAAACATATCGTAGCTTATCTCCAGAATCACTCAGATCTGGATGCTGATTCAGAAGTGCATAGACTTTGTCCCAAAGTAATGGTGGAAAACACATGGTGACCAAGAGGTGGTGGTACACTAAATAGATGTCTTTGACACAAGTCCTATCTGTGTATGTTACCTGAACAAAAACTTATTCATCACCATGAACGACGTAAGAAGGCAAAAGACAAGAGAAACGCGGAATCAGCCACGAACGCGAGAGGTGCGTCCATGGAGGCGTCTCGGAGACTGAAAGATTTTTTGCATCGCCGGCCAGTGCCAAAAGATTCGAAACTACCAGAAGACGATTACAAGATTGTAATGCGCCCAGGAGGAGGTCTGGACTTGACGCGACAGAGTCTAACGGTCATAAGAGACTGTGTTCTACGAGCGGCAGAAGTACAGCCTGACATTGCTGGGGAAGATACTCTCAGAATCAACATGCGACAAAATACCATGATCATGAGCACACCTAGTCTGGCCAATGCGAAGGAATACAGATACATCAAGGAAATTATGATCAATGACAAGAGCTATGCTACAGCCGCTAATGTAACAGCACCAGAAAACACATCCAAAGGGGTTATCCACGGAATACCGAAGTATGATAATCAAGAAGACATAGAAAAAAGCTTGGTCAGTCAGAGGAACCCGACGATTCTACATGCACGACGTATGGGACTTACGGACTCAGTGGTCATTGTTTTCGAAGGGTTGTTTGTGCCGTATTTTGTATACTACCGTGGTGCCGAATATAGGTGCTTCCTATACAAGAAGCAATATGATACATGCACTACTTGTGGTCGTATCGGACATCGGGCGGATGTCTGCCCACAGCCTGACAGCGAGAAATGCCGTGGTTGTGGGGTGCTCAATCCAACTGAAAACCGCCAGTGCGTTCCTAGGTGCAGCCTTTGCGGGAAAGGTCATCTTACAGGGGACAAAAAATGCAAGGAACGATTTAGGACCCCGTACCTTTTGAAGAAAAGATAATGGGAAAAGGTACAACAACAAGGCAATGAACGAAGAGAAATGAAGATTTTGTCGAACACTAGAGCAACACAGGCATGGAGGGAAGGGTATTCACCAGAAATTCCAACGGAGGAGAATGGCGACGCCACCCAGGACAGAGGGGAACGACACAGAGATCGTTCCAGCCCCTTCCCGCGACTCGCCGAAGGCGAAAGAGAAGAGACTCAACACGAACCCAGATTCTTATCCAGATCAAGGTCCACTCGTCAACACAGATCTAGGTCACGGGCCAAATCCAAGACAAGGGCAACGACATCACCTCAAGGACAGTCCCACGAGGGTCCTGGCGGCGGTCGGGGCAGTCAACAAATGGTGAGCTAGGTGGGTGAGGTATCAGGGGAGTTTGCCTGAGGTTGTGGCAAAAGGATCTACCCTAAGTCAAGAGCTAAACCATATTAAGAAAATGCTAGAGCAACTCACCCATGAAAACGCGAAACAGAAGCACGAAATAAAACAACTAAAGGAAGAGAACTCTAAACTCAGGCCAAATCAGCTGCGCGAGTCAACTAGCTCCATAGCATTGTGTAGTTAAATTTTAACTCCAGCGCCTGCACAGGAGTCAGGAGTGCATTGAGCGAAACGAAGAGCAGAGGAAATATCTCCTGTAGAAAATGAAGACCTCTCAAAACCCCTGGAAAAAAAAGTCGAGAATATGCTCGGAGAACTTACTAAGGTAATGCA